GGTCCACAAGGAAAGTCCCACCTTCAGGTAATTTTGTTAGGGAGGAAAATGAGCTAAATCCTCTTCTGCATACCTGGTTTCTTGTTTTAGGCAAATGTTCTTTAGACTAATCACACAAAACCAATCACACTCTGCACTGCTACTCTCTCCCTCCCCTCTACAGAGCAGCACAGCAGAGCAGACAGATGAGAACCAGGAACCTAAAAAGAAGAGACAGCGAAAAAAATGAACCTGGGGTTGCTGCTGCTGCCTCCTCCCCCCGTGCCTGTTCTGTGACAGACTCGCCTTGGAGACCTGTGTGTTTGGAGACCATGGTTTGTTGTTCTCTTGCCAAAGAGTTATGACTTCTTCCTTTGTGCCCATGGGTGTGCCAGCAGTGACTCGGGACACTGTCTCAGGTTTTACAGCTGGCTGCTGACCTGGGAAGCACCTCTGCGATGGGAACGTGCTGCTGTTGAAGTCTTCTCCAGGAACAGCCCTCATGACAGCAAAAAGGAAACGGAGTGACCAGGATCAGTCCCTGCCAACAGATCTCCTTCCAAAAGGCCAGTCAGGCTCTGGTGTGGCTCTGGACAGTTGTCCTTCTGGCACTTTGGCATCCTCATTTCTTCTCCAGAGAACCTTTGGTTATTTCAATTAGCTGATATATATCCAGTGCTTCTCCTGGAAGACAATGGGACAATCAGTTCCCTACATTCTGCAGTGCACTCAGAGACTGTGCAACAGGAAAGTGTGACAGTAATTATTTGCTTTAGTTCAGAGCACATAGCACAAAAAAGCCCTGAATTTGTTCAAACTTCTGGTTTGTGGGGTGGTGTGAATGCAGGAGCCAGCACCAGCAGGAGCTGGAAACATGAGCTGTTCTGCCTCAGAGTTGAAGCTCCCTGCTGCTGCAGCTCCTGAGAAGCAGAGAGGCGACAGCTTCCTCAGGCGAGGCTGGTTTTGCTGTTCTGTTTTTGCTGATGCAATGCGCTTGTTTAATTTGCCTTGTCCTTGGTGAGAAGCACCCTTTCTGCCCACAGAACACAAATCCTGTCTCTAAAAGCACCCTTTGCACATTAGACTCCTAATAAAGGTTATCTAAGAGTGGAGTGTCTGATGTATTCAACAAATGAGAGAACAAGGTTCTTCTCCTTCTGAGGGAAAATGGCTGCCACAGGTGGAGGAGAAGCTGTTTAAAGCACCCAAGAGTTCAGGGTTTGCTGGCAGCAGTTAAAGGGTGAGGTTAAGTGCAGTCAGAGGTGACTGCAGGCTCTGGGATTGCTGGGGAAGCATAGCCAGGCTGAGCTGGTTCTCTGAACAGAGCTGTGTTGGGCTGAGGGGGAGGTGGAGAGAAAGCACTGAAGGCTGAAGAAGCTTGGGTCTGGAGGGCAAAATACAGAAGTCTGGGGAGAGGATTGCAGGGGGGCGTATCCTGCACAGACACCACTTACCCTGTGGGATCCCGTATTTCTTCTCCATGCCGGTTGGATTTGATGGTGTCACACAGTTCATGGTCACCTCCTTCCTTAAGCACTGGTCAACATCCACGGCACTGAAGAAAGCCACTGACTGTGGCAGATCCTGGAGGCCCAGTTTGTAAGCAAACATGCACCTGGAAAAAGAAACATGACCAGCTTCACACAATACTGGCCAGCCATGGCTAACGGGTCACCTGGCACCCACGTCAAGGTGCTGGTTAAGTACTGGGTAGCAGGAGGGTCAAGCATTGCTAAGGTGGACATGAGAGAAACAGAATCAGTACATTGAGCCTCCTTGAAAGGAATGACCTGGCCCTTTGCTGCTGGCTCATCCTCCCAGGCAGAGCAGATGCTGGGTTTTCCCAGCAGGAAGCCCTGTGTTTGCAGGATCCAGCACAAAGGCACCAATGCCAGGGCAGCTGCCCCCGCGCTGCCAGCACAGAGGCTGGTTGCTGTACCTGAGAAAATAGCTCAGCTTTGCCCAGCTCCCACCTAACCACACCCCCCAGAGCACAGGGAAGAGGATTTTGGAGAGCTGGCTGTGCTAGAGCTGGACTGAGAGAGCAGGAGCTTTCCAAGATGAGTGCAACCTTGCATGGGGCAGGGAGGCAGCAGAAATGCCCCGGGCTGTGGAAAGGGCAGCAGCGCCAGTGCTTGCAGCACAGCCAACAAGGCATGTCCTTGCTGTCCCCTGCAGGCAGGGGGGAGATGAGGGACAGGGACAGTTTCAGGCTCCCAGCTGCTCACTCAAAATCTGCTGCCACACAATGCCCACAGACCTGATGCGAGCAGGAGGCGAGTGCTTGTGTCCCAGCAGAGCGGAATGATTGGCCTCATCTCTGCAGAAGCCAAAAGCTGGAAACATCCCCCCCTCTTGCCAGATTATCCCTGGAAATCAAAGCTGAGCTCCATTTATAGCCATCTGAGTCAGGCATGAAGGAAACAACCCCCAGCACTGCCAGCATCCTTTGAGCAGAAGGAAACTGCTCTGCACCAACTTGCTTGGGCAAAGCTAACCCCTTTGCTGTCATCCTGGTCTCTTAGAATTGTCCCCTCCCACCCCAGAGGTGCTGGTGCTCATTCCCAGGAGCCACCACAGCTGCCACAGCTCACCGTGTCAGGAGGTTGGTGATCTGCAGGGCCAGGGCTGCCCGGTAACGATCCTGCTCCTGGACCAGGTAGCGCACCTCATCATGGATGCTGATGCAGAAGCGCCCGTTGATGTCAAACTCCTCAAAGAGCCACTTCATGGCGACCAGCATGAGGTGCAGGTAGTCAACAGCTGAGCTCTGTACCACCCAGTTCACTCTGCTGGTCAGAAACTGGTGGAAAGAAACACAGATGGATGCTGGGGGAGCATCAGGTTGCAGGGCCTGGTACCGACACAGGAGAGCTCCTGGGGGAAGCCTGTTAAATTCTACAACCTAAGAAAAAATTCTCCAATCTAAGAAGAGCTGAACCCGGGGTTGCCATTTTGGAGAAGACAAGCAAAGCTGAGAGCTCAGCAGCAGAGAGCCCCGACCTTACCTCCCCCTTGGCCACAGCAGGCTCCAGGGCCCTGCTGATGTGACAGCCCAGCACCGGGGTCTGCGGTGTGGGGGATAAGGCGATGCTCTCCAGCTTGTTGAACATCTCAGACTCGGTGCCTCCAGCCCATACTCTGTTCTCCACCACATTCCACTTCATTTTTGTCTTCCTCCGGGACCTAGGTGGGCAGATGGAAGGTTTGCTGAAATGTGGGACGAGGCTGCAAGCCCCATTTGAGAGCCTCAAAGGGTTTGGGGCAGCCAGACGAGCCGCTACCTCCTCTGGTTGCCAGTTGCTCACTGGGAGAGACTGGGAGTCCCCATTTCCAACAGACTCAGCCCTGAGACAACACGAGGGAGGATCAGGACCATCCAGCCCTGTCTCCCATATCTGCATGCAGGGCTGCAGGTCCCCACACCTTCCAGCCCAATGCCACCAGAGCCAGGCGGGCTCCGAGCATCTCACCTTTTCACAGCTTCTCTCTGGAGCCGATGGACATCCTGGGCCGACACAGATCCATCCTCTGCCCTGTCCACAGCCAGGTCCAACTCCTTCACCAGCCACTCGCCCTCCTCGGAGAGATGAAACCTGGAGGGGGAGAGCGACCCGCACCCACATCCTGTGGGACACTGCCACCACCCCTGTCCCCACCCAGCCCTCCCCAGCAGAACACCCACCTCCGGATGCCCTTGGTGACAGCGTACATCTGCTGGGCCTTCTCGCGCGCCTGCTGCGGGGTCAGCCGGTGGTTGAACTGCATCAGCAGCCGCGCCGGGGAGGGCCGG